ATAAACACGTTTCATCAGTCGTAATATAAACAACGCCATGAGGCTTGCACTGCTTCTTCCCACCATCAATCCGAGAGCGATGGAAGCCGGCAAAAGTGCGAGCGCGTTGGTCTGGGAGTATGATTCTCGCTTGGGTGCGAGCAGGTCCGGGTCATAATCCCGGAGGAGCCCAAAATGCTCTTTTAATTCACAAAAATAAACACGTTTTCAGTCAGCGTAATATAAAAACGCATTGCGGCTTGCACCTGCTCTTCCACCATCATCGAGAGCATGAGCCAAAGCCGGCGGTCGTTGGTCTAGGGTATGATTCTCGCTTTGGTGCGAGAGGTCCCGTGTTCAATCCCGGACGAGCCAAAAGTGCTCTTTTTAATTAACAAATAAACAAGTTTCAGTCAGTCGTAATAAAAAACGCATTGCGGCTTGCACTGCTCTTCACCATCATCGAGAGCATGGAGCCTGATCAAAAGCAGCGGCGCGTTGGTCTAGGAGTATGATTCTCGCTTTGGGTGCGAGAGGTCCCGGGTTCAAATCCCGGACGAGCCCAAAACCTCCCTTTTTAATTGACAAAATAAACAACGTTTCAGTCAGCGTAATATAAAAAAGCATTGGAGCTTGCACTGCTTTTCCACCATCATCGAGAGCATGGAAGCAAAGCTGCGCGGCTCGTTGGTCTAGGGGTATGATTCTCGCTCGGTGCGAAGAGGTCCCGGTTCAAAATCCCGACGAGCCAAAAACTCTATTTTTAACTGACAAAAATAAACACGGTTCAGTCAGCGTGTTTAAAAACGCTTGAGGCTTGCACAGCACTTCATCATCATCGAGAGCATGAAGCGTGAGCAAACGCAAAGCGGTCGTTGGTTAAGGAGTAATGATTCTCACTTTGGGTGCGATAAGAAGAGATAAAAGCCAAAAAAAGAGGAAAAAAGAGCAAGAAGGAAAAAATAAACATGAAGAAAAGAGGCCTCCCGGGTTCTAAATCCCCGGACTAGCCAAAACTCTTTAATTGACAAAAAAAAAAATATTTTTGTTAATTAAAAAGAGCATTTTGGGCTCGTCCGGAATTTGAACCCGGGACCTCTCGCAGCCAATGCGAGAATCATACCCCGATACAAAGAGCCGCTTGTAAGTTGTGGAACTTCGCGTTTATGGAACTGGTCCAGGACGGGCTCGCCCAGTATTTGAAACGAGGGACTATTGCAGCCTAAGAGGGAATCATACCCCTAGACCAAGAATTCGTTCGTAAAACAATTACCTTTTACTATGTAATTCAGGGTAGAGGTGTGGTACATTTTTAAATGTTGTCGGCCTATCGAACCCGAGAACGTCTAAATACCTTTGATTTAGATTATAACCCAACAAGCTCGACTGAGATTTGAACCCGGCTCGGCTTGCGCGTTCTACGCCTATTTGAAAGTGAGGTGGTAGAGGTGTGTTTTTAGAATGTAGTACTATATGGAAAACAAATTCAAAAATTTAAATTTCTTTGTTTAATGTATGAGCTTCTTTCGTTTTAGTTATTTTGTTAGAAAATGTATTTTTTGTAAAGATAACAAAATATTAATATATAAAACAGTTATTAGGGATTCATGGCGTTATGGGCATCTTGTAAGTCAAAGTTGGTTTAATGAAGGGTTATTTCGCCTTCGTTTTGTGTGTGTCAATCCTTTGTGTCCGCGCTAAGCATGTGCACATGGGGTGATCGCCCAGGACCCAGCATTTCGTAAAGAATAAAAAAATATGAGTGAAACATTTTCTAAAAAGAATTATTTTATTTACATTAACTTAGTGTATATTTATTACTTACAAAAGATTCACAATGATTCAACAGAAGTAACAGAAAATAGTATATTATTAAAACTTCATGATAATAAACAAGAGATTCACAAAATGTACCATATAAAAACATGCAATGTTGGGTAAAGCTTTCTGTATGAATGATAATAATAAAATATATCAGGGTTCAAATATTGAATGAAGGAACTGCTTACTGTATTCATAAACAAGGAACAGGGTAGCACATGCAGGCACTGTGCGAATAAGTGTAGGTGTCAGTCCATTATACAAAGCTCGGAAACCTAAACAAGATCAAAATACAATAAATAACTTGCAAAATAATAATAATTGCTATTTTCATTATTACATATTATACTAAAATATCAAAATATGACTGATAATCAGTTCTCTTAAGTCATCAAAGAAAATAGAAAAATATTGTTAATCCCGGAGTATTGAAGTCTCGTGCCACAGTTATATGTGAGCTAAAATGAGAGAATATTTACATGGGTACTGAATGCAGCTTTAGCAAATTCAGTGAGGAGTACCAGCAGGGCAAAAAGTATAACAATATTCAACAAATGTAGAAATGTCACTATTATCATTAAAAACCGTTTTAAAAATGCAAAATGTACCAGGAAAAGAAATTGTTAGACATACTGTGAGGACCATTTTCAACATTTAGTTTATCATCCTCAAAATATGAAAGATTGATTTAGATCTTACTTATATCTTTCTGTCCCTGGTTTCTGAGCATTTTCTAAGACAATATCTATAAATAGCACTAACCCCATTTGTCTGCATTTAAGAATTCGTATTTAAGGAAAAATTAATTTGAACCCATGAAAAGCACCATATTGTAAAAACATAACATGTAACATAACATGTAAAAACACATCCAAGAATCCTTTCATTTAACAAAAAGAACTGCAGAAGAAATACTTTTACAGTAGAATCTCTGTAATTTGAGTCCTGATTGTTCGAGTTGCCTAAAAATCTATGTTAAATCAGACTTACAAAATAATTAATTGAAATAAAAATAAATTAATTTACTCATAAAAAATAACTAAGACATGAAAAATTTACTACATAATTTCTTATTGTTGTTTGGCCAATTCGAAGCATTGTTGTTGTTGTTACGCCCAATCAGTTGTTACAACCAATTGGTTAGATTGTGCAGATTGCAGTTCGATTAGTTTGGCATGCACAACTTAAAACTCCTTTGAAATATTTTTTAATTTAATTTATAGAATCGTTGTTTTTTATGATTGATCCTACAAAAAGGAAATGGAAATTTATTCCATTAGCAGTGAAATTAGAAGCATTAAAAAGACTGGGTAAGGGGGAAACCCTTAAAAATTTGCAGTCGAATATGGCGTAAATGAAGTTACGGTTTGTGATGGGCAAAGAGGCAAATTAGAAGATTTTTCTTGCAACATGTGCTCAAACTTATCATTGAACAGAAAATCTTTGAAAAAATCTGAATATGGACAAACTGATGCGGCACTTTTTATGTGGTTTACCTAACAAAGGAAAAGAGGATGCCGTCTTTCAGGTCCGATTCTTCAAGAAAAAGCTTCGGTGTTTCAAGAAGAATTTGAAGAAAGAGATAAGAAAAATTACACGGTTAGTGTAGGTTGGTTAGACAAATTGAAAAAAACAATATGGTATTTGGCAACTAGAGATGTGTGGAGAGAAGTTATCTACTGATTCAGAAGTCGTAAAATTTTGCAAGATAATACAAGAGATTGTGAAAAATGAAAAACTTACAAACAATTGGCTTTATAACTGTGATGAAACTGATGCATTAGGACATCACAAGAGGAAACTTACTAGGAAAATCAGCTAAGACAAGAGCTTTTAAACATGTTTGCATATCGTCTCTACCTGTTAATATCAAAATCAAAAATGTGATTGAATGATGCAAGAGATATTTAAAAAGTGGGTTTACTCTCATTTTGTTCCAAAAGTAAAAAAGAAAAAAAGAAGAACAAACTAATGGTGTAACAGAATTGCACACACTTTCTCGTATTGGTTTTCTATTTCCTTTGGTCTGAGCTATTCGGACTTGCCACATACTCTTGCAAGCTATCACCATCCAAAGTACATTTTTTGAAATTTTCTTCATTTTTTGGTTTCCAAATAGTAGAACGGAAATATTATTTGAAGAATATTAAATAACAGTATAACCTCATCCTAAATTGCAATTTTCTTTGCAAAATTTGGAGCTCTTCTTAAGAAAATGGTATGTAAGCGTAGTGTAGATTCGAAATTCAAAGTCCTTTTTCGCAGAAAAGTTTTGAGTTTTCAAAAAACTTGATTTGAAGTCATTGGAAGCACATTAACTCGCTAATAAAATACTCTTTACAAATTGCTGGAAATATTCATATAAATGGTGAGAGAGATCTTTCACAATAATTGTGTAATTTTTGAAGAAGAAAAAAGAAGTACCTCCAAAAGAACTTAACCTCATTTTAAAGAGTGCAGTTAGCACAATCCGTTCAAAAAGCTTGAACAAACAATTTGAAGGAAATTACGAGAAAATGGCATTTGAACGTTTCTGAAAATGCGGATTTTGGGTCAGTTTTCACAGAAAACAATTGAGTTTTCGAGAAACTGTATTTGATCTTATTTAACGCACTTGTACTCATAAATATACTAATGTGAACAAATCACTGCTAATGTAAATATAAACAACGTGAGAGACAAGTTAAAAAATAACATTTTTGCAAATTTTGAAAAAACAAAAGAATGGAGCAACACGGCGTTTATGTCATATTATAGAGTATGTATAGCACTATCCATATTAAAAGTTTAAAGAAAAAATTTGGAGTAGTTTTTAAGTAAATCTTGTTTTTATTCCTTTTTTAAAATTGCACATATTGCACGACAAAGAGACAGGGACTGAGACAAGGACAGAAGTAGAGAGACAGCGACAGAGAGATGAAGAGTGAGAGACAAATAGTGAAAGATGAAGAGAGAGAGCTGAGAGAGACAGAAAGAGAAAGAGATGAAATGAGAAGGGAGGGGGAAGGAGATGTAAAGCAGTACAATGTCTGTTGGGTTCCGCTAGGTACTTAAAAGGTGTGATTCCTACGAAATGAATCCAATGTTGCTAACATTAAAATAGGTTCTACTGAAATTCATACTTATTATTTCATGTATTTAACAAATTATTTTATTTAACACCAACTAAAACAACAAAAATTTTAAGCATTTTAAGATCACTGTAAATATTGTATTATTTATCACTAAATACATTATCACTACACTTAATAAACTTTATTTGAAATATATTTCCAATTTTTTTTCTCATTTAAAAGTAATTTTTTGTTATTTATTGAAATTAAATAACTCGTATAGTTTCTTGATACAACTTTCACATTTTAAATTGGTGTGTGGGGGTGGGGGAGGGGGGGGGCACTACGGTTCAGCTGCCCAGGGCCCAAAATTGTCTAGCTCTGGCACTGATGACCCGCCTCATATCTAGCATATCCTCATTATGTTTTTCAATGCTAGAAATCGTTAATTGTTTGCTATCATATTGCTTATTTGTAAATATAAAAAAACCGAAAAAAAATCTGAGATAATTATGTACATACACAAAACAAACAAATATGTCAAATAATTTTATACTCTACCTTCTTCCCTCCCAATTTTCACAAGCAACTGAAACATTGGATCTCTTACGCCATCCACTTGGATACGAGACTTAACAACATCAATTGGAAACATAACCAACCAAAACACAGAACCTCCAACAGCACCAGCAGCCATCGTACGCAGCGCACCTAAAAAAGTGTTATAGTTAGTTCCCATTCAATTCATGAACGAAATACATTGACAAAGAGCCAATAACAACACAAAACATTCAACATTTCCAGAACTGCATTTTAGGTCTTCATTTATTCAATTCAGACTATGTACAGATCTGTTTGAATATTCCTGGCTGTTCCTGAAACATCTGAATAAAATGGATGCAAGCAGTAACTCCTAATAATTTCAATTATTTTCTTCAACCTTGGGATGAGAATTCATTGAAGGAACATGCCACATTTTAACAGAAACTGAGATTTTAAACCTCATATGGCCCTCAGCCTTCCGGTTTGGTCTCTCTAGGTAGCATTAAATTTTCACAAGCATCAGTAAAGAATATTCTTAATTCCTAAAGAGGTGCATCTGAAAGATGTGACACATTTTGCCTTATAACTTAGTTTCAGTCTGAAGAGGCACATGACTATCCGATCCACAGTTCTTAATTTGAATTCAGTGGAGAACTGGCCAAACTCACGTGTTATATGATCTCTGATATTAGTACTTGATAAGAATTTATTATATAAATATGCAATTCATGCTCCAGGAAGTGTTTGAGAGGAAGTAACTTCAGAGGTGTTACTCTTTCATTCACGTTATTTTCAGTGTACTGAAAACAGCCACAATCAAGGCAAACTAATTATATTTTTTTGGCAATTATTTTGCATTTCATATTAATTAAAGCATTAATCCAATGCAATACTTGCCATTTTTACAGATATAATTAAGAATTTCATTTTGTTACTCACCAATATCCTTTTTCTCAACCCCTGGAGGAGCAAGTAATTCACGAGTCAATTCGTAGCCTCCAAAGAAAAAGAAATAGCCTGGCACTTCTCGTACCAGAGTGGACACAAGACCTCGAAACAAGCCCGTAGGTCCATCTTCCTTTATAATTTGGCGTACTAGGACCATGGGACTTACATGGAATTGTCCTTTCAGTTGCCCTTTTGGTTGATCACGTTCCCATATTTCCCGGAGTGCTTGGGCACGACATTTTATTAGCTCTGGAGGACACAGAGTGAAAGATGAAAAGAATGATGCTGCAGATCCTGCAGTTGCATTTGCTATCACTCCTAGTTCTTCTGGCTTCTGAAATACAACAAATATTCATGAACATTCAATTTTTAGTAGCACGTTTATTCTTAAATTTTTAACACATACAAAGATTTTCTTGCAAAATCCCATTACATCACATTTTATAAACCATAATAATGTGAAATTGTAATTCTTAAGGTAATACAAGATTATTATTTCAACTTGATTTCTGGAATACCTTCTCATAAACTGAAAAATCATTTATTTTCAACCTAGCAGAAACAAGTTGGGTTCCAACAATCTTTCCAGTTAAGTTCACTACAAGTTCTGTTATGTTCATCTTTTATATAATTTTTCAAGTTGCATTACAAAGCAAAGGTATACACATTTATTTCAAATTTCCATTGTAATAAAGAAATTTAAGAATGATGTACACTGCCTTCAAAGATAGGATCACATGATTTAAGAACTACGTAAATTATAATGTGAAATGTTTTATAATGTATTGAATTGTGAATGCGTGGACATTTTAAATTACACAATTAATAGTTCTATTTAAATAAACTATAAGATATTTGTAAAATATTAATAATTTTCCTTTTACTCTTCAGTACAAGATTCATCAAGAGTGCAAAATATAAATGTGATCATTTTACAACACAATTCTCCCCTGAATCTCATACTATTTCTTCTGGCAGAGATCATTTGTTTCTAATGAAATGTTTCTTTACGCAATTACAACTTACTTGGTTAATGGCCCAACCTATACCTTTCTGGCATAAACCATAGCCAGAAAATAATACTGCATTTTCAGCCACATTTGCAGCAATAGCAGAAACAGTTCCTGCATATAGACCTCGAATACCTTCTTTTGCCATAGTTTCCTTGAAACAATTCCATGTTCCAATGTACTTTTCGGGAAAGGTTTGCATTTTCACCTTGAGCGTGTCAAATGGTTGACCAACATACACAAGGGCAACGGCCGCTGTCAAAAAACAAATGATTTTCAATTAAAATATTAGATCAGCATTGCACAGTAATGTGGTTTCTTATTTTTATATAAGGTCAATGGTCCCAAATAGTCCCAGTCATGTAAACAAGTTTTAAAACCGTTTGAAACATGCACAGACTTTGAAATGAAGATGCTTCTTTAAAATCGAACTCTCCGTAACAAAATTTATTACGAGTTGCCACTATTATATTCCAAAATTAGGTTATGTTATCTCTCCATTTGCATTTACAATATTTACCAAGTGAGCCAGCAACGATGTCAATAGCAGCATCATGAACGGTACCTCCAACTCCTTTCGAATGTGCCATTTCTTTAGGTTTTCTTCTTCCGAGTTCTTGAACACATACATTTCAGTACTATTATTAGAAAACTAATTAATGCATAATATACTTCATTTCATCACACATAATCTCTTCACGAGCTTAATTTCAATAATGTATAATAACAATAAACAACTAAACAGCGTGTCAATAAAAGTGAATGAAGCCAAGAACTAGTAAAACACTTTTTTTTCGGCATCGTGTTGGCGATGTCGACCCACTGGCGGTCGCGTACACGTGCTACGGGGAACATAAGAGAATCTACTTTCTACAACCGTCTCGCAAGACACGTGTCTCTCTCGTGCGCCACCTTTGTCTTAGACCTCCACACAAAGGTGTCACAATGAATTTTGACGTTATTATTCTACCAAGATAACAGTAATTTTTGTCACATTGTGATTCAAATACGCACCCTCCTCCTGTCATTCAAATATCCACTCGAAGAAGCGACAGAAGAGATAATCGTCTACTCTGACGTCACAAGCACGCACGACACAAACTGTACTACGGGCTAAAGGGCAAGGTCTCGTTGATCTAGATTAGGGTCGGGAAGCATGGCCCACGGTTTAATACACGTGCTACTCACTGGGTGTGCCATTTTCAACATTTCGGCTGTCACTGTAGCTGCCGTCACAAGTTGTCTGATGCAGACAGGTATGTGTGTGAGTACTGTTGCTGTAGTTTGAAAGTCAGGTTAAATATGTACTTATCTCTATAGACATTGAACTGATTGCTTCTGATAACGACTCGTGCCAATATGCCTTGCAGAGACCGTGTAACCTGATAACAACAGTGCCTTCCATAACGAGCAGTGACGCTTGGTTCTGGTTGAAAGGTGCAACATTGGAAAAGAGTGACATCCTACAATGAGTATTCCAGATATCAGCAAATTTAACGACGACGAATTGGTAACATTTCTGAACTCCTTCGACACCATTCTGACGGACTGTGACGGTGAGAGACCTGACATGTTTTTTTATCTGTGCTTCATTTTGCGTGTCGTAACAATACGCCACGTTGCCGGCCCGCTTTTAAATAATCGTGTAGCGAGATGAATAAGGATCATAAATCAAAATGGAGTTGGGTATTACCTTGTGTTATGATATCATGACCTATATGGGGAACGTAGTGACCGAGTGTTTAAACAACCCAAAAAGCGCATCAAAAGTTTTCTTTCACCAATCCCTGAAAAATCTGTAGTAAAACGATTAATCAAAACTTATCTATTTTCTAATAGTGAGGAAAATTAACAATGAAAAAATATTTTCAATAGGATGCAGAATGCAATATTGTATGTATGTTTGATGTTACTTCATCGTGTTAATATGTAGGACAGAAGGAAAGATGATCAAAAAATACAAAATTTAATTATTTTGGGTGTGACACCTGAAAATCTGTATCTTTATTATCTTCCGCCAACAAAGTGACAAGTCAATAGATTTTGGGAGGACCGGAAGTGCTGAATTTGGCCAGGGGCAGAAGTGGTCCTACCACGGGGTGAGGCGGTCCCAAGACGGTCAATATTTTTGTCGATATATTTCATGTTAATGGATATTGTACAATAAAATTGACCGTCTATAGATCATATTGAAAGATAGCGTAATATATTGAGTGAGTCAAAATTAGTTCGATTTTTATTGTGCAATTAGAAAATATTATCTCGCATATTGCTAGTATTGTGCAATACTGATTGGGCTGTAGCTCCGCAGTAATAGAGTAGTTCACTAATTCTTAGTTCAGTTCATAAATTTTCATGTGTGTATTCATTTCTTTTCTTGAACAATTCCTTCATCCACCTACTCCTCTTTTTCTCCGTTTTTGAAACTACAAGTATCGCAATGGCCACACAACTTGCTCTTTTCTTATTATTCCTCTTGTTGACTGAAGAAATGTCAGCGGTTAGGTAATTTATTCAACAAAAATATTGTGTATGTTGGTCCAGTAATGTTATTATACAATATATTAACGTAAATAGTGACTGCGTAGGTGCCGTTTAAAAGAATACACAGTGGGTGGAACAGAGGGCAATTGACAATGGAAATAGCATTCAGGGATTTGCACGGTGAATTAATTTTCAGTTCCTAAATACAGGAAACGAGCTTCATGTCAAAATTACCGTCACTGTAAAGACAAATCACCTAAACATTGCATCGTTTTCATACTTCAAGATAAATCTATTTTCAAGTAAACTTCTTTAAAGTAACCACACTCTTTCCAAGAAATTTAGCATCACGTTGGGCCTTTCTGAATACGGACTCGGTATTGTCTGCCTTTCATTGCAGTTCTCGGGCTCTGACGGGTAATACTTGATTATCAACGCACATTAGAGACATATTTTTGTCTGAAACCAATATTTTTCACACGACAATATATCCCATTCTCAATAAATAGCAGTCTGGAAACAAACTCATTGACAATCATTGGATATTTGGGCTGTTCCTACCGTACACGACGTTTTACTCAGGGAAAGAAAATCATTGGGCGTAATTTCTTCTTTGAACATATTCCTCCATCTCTATCTAATTAAGAGCTACATTCCCCTCCCTTAGAACGTTTTTATTGTGGAATTACGCGGGTGGATATGATTTTTTCGAGAAAGCATTTACTCTTTACAACTCTGTCAAATGATCGAACGTTATGTGCATTTGCTGAGAGCGATAAGACCTTGAATGCAACTGAGTAGTATATGGAAATAACATTTAACAAAATAATAAATACTGAAGCACAAAGTCAAGAAACCATGAAAATTTCAAATGATTTGCAGGCCTCTTATATCCCAGAATGTTCGTCTTTGTAGTTCACGTCAGTAAATATTTTTTTATATAATTCAATGATGCGACAAGAATATGATTTAAATTTGTTCCGGGTAATTCATATTTCAGTATAGCCAGGTAATTTATTGAACATCATTGGGCGAATGTTTTAAGTTTTTTAATGACCATGACACGAGTTTGCTGTTCCAATGTTTTCGCAAATTGTCCCGCGCATTTAAAAGAAAACATCTACGTGAAGCGAAGTCTCACATTATATCTGACTCTTGTACTTGAGCTTTTAAGAATGCTACGCTACACTTACAGATAATGATACATAATTGACAGATAAGATACAAGTTTTGATTTGGTTGTCCCTTATTATAATGATGATTTTTATATTTTTTTTCAGCCCCTTTTTTTAAATTTTGGACGACCATAATTAAATATATCAAAATTCGATCATGCCATTCATTTCATAATTTATTTAAACGAAACATTTGTAAAATTTATATAATACAGAAACCTATCACGACGTTTCGGAGGCCGTTCAGACTCCCTCATCAGAGCTACAATTGAAAATAATATTTACAATATTGTGTAAGAGAAGACTGAAATTTGATGTTTACAATATTAGTTAATTGAAAGAAGAACAAAGGTAAATAATAGGCGACCTTTCATCTTGATTTGGTACAGTGTTATTAATTTTCGTAATATTTATATTCTTCATTCCAATAACTAATATTGTAAATATCATTTTCAATTGTGGCACCAGATGAAGGAGGTGCGGAACAGTCTCCGAAACATCGTTACATGTTTCTCTGTTTCATGAATTTTACAAATGTTTCGTTTAAATAAATTATAAAATGAATGGCATGATCGAATTTTGATATATTTAATTATGGTTGTCCAAATTAAAAAAGAGATTGAAAAATATAAAAATAATTGACATATATTTGTTCTTGCCAGATATTTGAAAGTAAACTTATGGCTATTTCTTTTTGATAATGAAAGTGGTTGCGATGTAAAATACAGAATGCTTCAGAATAAATGTTACAAACGTTTGATGCTTCGAAGAGAATCACGTTTTGCCAACGAGCGTGTAGTAAGAAATTTTATACAACGAAGTTAACACATAGAATATTTGTCCTGATTGTTAGGCAACTTCACGTCCACTGGTGTTAGGCAGTGCCCGTTCTGACGCAGTCAAGGCAATTTTGTGTACTTCCAGAATACCATTTCAAGAAAAGTTTCCTAACATCCTGGGGCAAATGTTACATAAATAACTTGAAATGTATGCGAATATACGTATATGGAATTTACCACATATCCATGGCCAAAAAGAGATATCTTCGATGCCCTAGACCTTCGTAACATTTATTATAAGACATTTTACTTAAAAGTAAATTTAAGATGCGTTGCGAAGGCAGTTAAAAGACCATCAGAAAAGCTCATCTGTTCCTTGTGACGTAACGCGAAGTAATTCACTTTCCCTCTCACGCAGTAGAGAGAAAATTATGTAGTGCTCCGGCAAAAAATGGCAATTTCTCGACAGAAAAACGGTTTGCGGGTTCCTCATGCCGAAAAATGTGACAATTCTCGCTTCTGTATGCAGTAAATTACACATGTTCAACTTTATTTTTAAAGATTCGGAAAACATGTCACATCGTCGCAGGCGACTGGTTGTTAGTAGTTACACAAACTGTATCCAAATTCTAAGAACCCGAGTAAAAATCTTAGCATAGAGACATCTTTTTGCGGGTTGGAAGCAGTTTTTTGGGTTCAAGTAGTATTATAAAATTACGTAACCGTTACAAATTATTTGAGAATGTTCATTAGTACCACAAGTTCCTTTTCAATTATTATGGTTCCATTTTTTGGGGACCGTTTAATTGAATCGTGATATTTTTTCGCTAAAGCAGGGGCAACGCAACCCTTTCGGAATAGTGCACCTTCGAGTTGATGGTTGCCTAGCTCTGAATCAACGGAAGATCACCTGGCTGTAATGGATGGAGAGGAAATTAAATTCCATTCCATGTGCAATTTTTTGTAATAGTATGGGTACGTAGTCTTGTCAAACTTTTGAGTGAAATTAGTACAATTAAAAAAATACCCCAAGAAGATATCAAAATCCGCTCAAAAATTGTTTTTGCTCGAATACAACAAAGTTAGCTTAATAATATGGCATGGACATTTTCATTCAAATATCACAAATTTCGAAAATTGAGAAAACTAAATTTTATTTTTGATGCGTCGGGGCCGTTTATGAACTAAACCAATGCGCTAATACAAAGGATAAAAACGCGAATGGGATAACTTTGCGCCTTAGTTCAAATGCCAGCGCGGACAAATAGCTTTGCGAGTTCAACAATTTGCTGAGCCATGTGTTGAGTCAATGAAGTGATCTCCAAATGAAATGAATCGTAGTAGACTGCGATTACATATGCAATTGTGTTCAAAACTCCGAAATTTTCAAATATGTAGTACATATGTTGTTCAAAATAAAATATTTAAACCATTTTATGAAAAAATTCAAAATATAGTATTTGCGTTTAATTTTTAGTGAAATCTAAAAAATTATATTAGCAAAATGTTTTCAAAAACAGCTCTTAATTTTTACTTTAAATGTTTTGTAAGGATTAAACCATAAACACTAAATTCTTCTGTCATGTGCCATTTTCAATAAACCTTATGAATTTCCAAAAATTAGGACGTACGTAGTTTCTAATGAGGTGTGTGATGTATTAGTACAAATACTGTACAAGTATTGTATAACCATTACACAAAATTCGAGACCGTAAATTCTGTTGGATGATTAGTTTGAACTTGAATGTACTCGTGCAATTTAGGCAAGGGCTGTGAGTAGCAGAGAAGCTCTTGACGAAAAATTGCATAATTTTTTTAAACTTCATGTTGGTAAAAGTTTAGTTGATTTTTGTTTTAAATTTAATACTCTAAAAGTCATTTAATGTTTTGTTCATGGTTAATCTTACTATTTCATACACGTACGTATATATATATATATATATATATATATATATATATATATATATATATATATATATATATATGTATATATATACGGAGAAATATATTACACAGTTTAGAGAAAGTTATGTAATGCTGCAGAAAATTTATTTCGAGATTTCAACTGAAATACACATTTTGGGGTCCCCTGAAACCGAAAACGTGTTTATTTAACTTCCGTCTGTATGTTCGTAGAAGAGGAACGTGACCTGGCACATTGTTTCGACTTCGGTACTGGTCTGGAATGCCAGTAGCTCTGAGAGACATCCCCTTGGTGGAACATAAGGTGCGAGTAAAAAGCACATTAGACAATCTACTGTCCGTCTGTCCGTCTGTGCACAATACTAGGGCCTAAACTATTTGCATTTTTTTTTATTCCAAAATGAATACACCTCGGTCGATCTGGTCCGACTCGAAGCTCTGCAATTTTGAAAAACATTCTTCAAATTTGGGGAATTTTGGGATTTTCTTTCTTTAAATTTCTTGGAACAATGGAGAGATATACATTACTTATAAAGATGTCCTAGGATTAATTTTCACTGTTAACACGGTATTTTCGGAAAAACAAAATTTTGGATATTTTCGGCGTCTTCTACAACTACGACATTGAAGAGAACGATTTTTCGTTCTAATGAAATGTGTTCTGCACAGTTTATTCTTTCATTAACGTCGTGCAGTTTTTCGGAAAATTTAGAAGTTTTGAGTAAAATAGGGGCAATAATAAAAATATCAAAAACAAGAGTTTCCGAAAAGGCTTCAATTTTTTTCTTTAAATGTTTGGTAGGGATGGTGAGTGTAAAATGCACTGTACAAGATAAGTTCTGTACAAGACTATATTTTGCTTTTTTTGTTTTTCCAAAAATTGCGCAATGTATTTTTTTAAATCTCCCTCCCGACGTTAATATTTGCATTACCGGCGATTTGTAAACATAATGACATTTTTTTTTAAAGTGAATGATGCAAATGATGTCTTATAAAGTTTCTAGAAAACTCAAACATTTCCTGTGAAAATGAGCTTGAAATTGCGCTTTTTCAGAAACGCTCTAACGTAATTTTGTTAGAAAACGGCTCCAAATTTTGTCTTTTAATTTTTGCACGTGTAGTGTTAAATAGACTGCATTGTATAAATTCCACTTTGATGTATTGTTATGCTCTTCCAAAAATTAAAAAAAAATAATCTCTCTCACGTCCTTAACATTTACGTTATGTACGATTACTTTTCATTATCGCATTCGTGAGTAAAATTACTTCAAATCATTTCTTACAAAGTTTCTCCCAAACTCGACAGAAAACGATCTTCAAAATGTGCATTTTCAGAAGTGCCCAAATCACGTTTTCTGATAAAAGTATCCAAAGTTTCCGATGAAAATATGCGTAGAGGATCAGCTTTTACCCTTCTATGGTATTATTAAAATCATATTTCAATTCTCCTATTAAGTATGATGGAAGAAACGTGAAAACATGTGTTTTAGGCTGAGAGAGCAGGTGACAGCTGAGAGAGTGGGGCAAAACTGTATTGGTAACCCAGATTGAAGAGATAAGGAAACTAACTGTATGTGCCTTCCTGAGTGAGTCTGTCTTCCTGTATGAGTCTGTGCCATCCTGTAGCATCCCCAGTTTACTTTCTTGTTTATTCGTTCAGAACCTCCTGAATGAATGTTCATCGGGCTGCTGAATGAATGTTCATCGGGTCAGATTTAAACCAGTTTACATAATTTCTGTTGAAGTTTAAGAATTTCTGATGTAATAACAATATTTCTTCTCTGATTTACACTCATGGGTTCTATAACTTTATGGTCTAATTTTTATATGCTTGTTTTTATCCCCTGAACGTGTGGTAGCTGGGTTTTAAGACTGATGTCGTAGAATATTGATATTAGATATGTGCATGTTAATGATATGAAGTATTAGTATTTTCAATTACTTGCTACCTTAACTTATAGCCGCGCTTGGGAAATTCATAAAAAATCTTGTCGGAGATACGTCCTCTTAGATTTATCGGAGAGTTCTAAACAACTCGAAATATTACTGATGAATATCCATAATAATAAATTTAAATTAAAATACGTTAAACACCAACATTTAAAGAAGTGCTTTACATTGATTATTTTGAAGCTCTAAATCATATTTACGTTCTCAATAATGTCTTTCATTATTTTGATTGACAACTATAAAATATCTTTCAGAAAAGAGAAACGTCACTGGTATTATCTTTCATTCATTTTATTCCACTGTATCTCCTAGTTGATCGTTCTTCCTGATTTTCTGCATGTGTTTGTTGGTTCTTGTTGTCAGGTGTCATCTGGATCTTAGGCACCCCATACGAGGGGGCGTCCGATGCCATCGCTGCCTTCGAAGCACTGGGGAAACGCGTCTTCTATGTGACGAACAACGCCACCAGGTATTCTCTCAAAAGCGAGCTGCATCGCAATGAGACTGAATCACTAAAGAGGCATGGGGCTGAAACCTTTGGCTTGGGGTGTAAGACCACATGGAAGTGTTGTTTCTGCTTAGCAGTCAAAATGGTCATAGACCATGAACCATCTCCACACGCCACGAAGTTTTCTTGAAGAAACTTCGAATCATTCCTTGTGCAACGGTTATGTATCAGTTATATTATCAAATCTATTACTGATATGATTGCCATCTACCAGTTTGTGCACATGTATATATTATTGAGCTGCATATTATGTATAGGTTTAAAGTTCATTTTTACCGTACATTTTCAGTATTTGTGTATTTTTGAAAATACATATCACATATGTTAATTCTGTATTAAGAGAAAGAAATGAAGGAAGAGAAACAGAACAACACGTTATAAATTTGGCGAATGAAATCTTCAATACAACTCAATCTTTAATGCAGCTCGATCGCTCGATCACTTTCGTTTGAGTTGAATCTTCTTATATAGCCCAAGTTTATAAACACAATCCCCACTTTTCCGCTTGTATATCCTACGTATTTATTTTAGAGTTCAGTTGCCTTCGAACATACCAGTGTAAATGATCCCTAGTTAGTGTATCAATTTCTGAAAATTTATATTATTGTGTTTTGTTACTAGGCCTGTGGACAACTATGTGAAAGCCATGACTGCATTAGGATATAATGTTACAAAGGTAAGAATAATTAATTTTACATACACACGCCACCCTATTATAGGTCTAAGAGAGACGGAGTTTTATTAACAAACATCCTAAAGGTACTTTGAAGTTAATCAGCAATTTATTGTAGTATTCGTCCTACTCATCGTAACTAGCGAACGTCTTCGCGTCTCAAGTTATGTTTGGGGGTCTGAATTCAAATTACATGTTGCCACCATCGGAAATGTCTTCACAGGAAAACTCGCAAAAACAGATAATTTTACTTTCTGTATACTATTTACGCTGTTTAGAGAAAGTACTGTAAAGCCGTGAAAAATACGACGCTTTTTCCTCAAAAACTCTTATTGTGAAACCCGGATATATAAAAAGTGGACAAATCTTGCACAATAGGTAAAAAATTACTTCTTCTAACAAGTTGTCTTAAATATTTGAAATTTCTTATTACTTCCACGAACATTAATAGAAATGGAAATAAAAGTACGTATGACCTCAGCAAAAACGATTACAATGGCCCTGCTATTTTGTGGGTTTTTGATGGCGATAAATTAATTTATGGCAAATCGTCTGTCCGCCCGACTGGCGTCCGAAAGATGTGTAACCGCATTGGAACAGCCGTAGCCCACGGTATGCGCAGTCGCAGGTGAGTGACCCGGCGGTGACCGGTGAGAAAGCACATGCTGCCACCAGGGCGGACTCCAGGTGACGTATGTCGCGTCGGAGGCCTTCTTGACGGCCCAATGAGTCTGACGTGGAAATACCCTCTAGCTCTTGAAATGTCGTAATTTGCCCAAGCATTAGGAGATCCTCCGCATTGTCCACAGTAAGATGTGTACCATTGAACAGCCTGTAGCCCACGTGCATGCGCGAAGTACGCAGTAGGTGAACCCAGCGAGTGAACGTGGAACATGCTGCGCACCAGGCGTGACTCCAAGGTTCACGTGGTCGACGTCGAGAGCCTTTTCGCAGCCGCATGAGTGCTCGACGGTGTGGGAAATACCCTCTAGCTTTGAAATGTCGTAAATTTCTGCCCAACTGTTAGAGAATCCTCCAGCATTTGTCCACAAGTAAGATGTGTATCGACCATTGGAACAGCCTGTAGCCCACGTGTTGCGCAGTCGCAGTGTGAACGCCGCAGGTGACGGTGACACATGCTGCGCCACCAGAGGCTGGACTCCAAGGTGCATCTGCTCGCGTCGGAAGCCTTTCGCAGCCACATGAAAGAGGGCCGACGTGCGATTGACAAGTGGGAATTCAGTTAACTCTTTTTTTATTTATTTATTATTTATTTATTTATTTATTTATTTATTTATTTATTTATTTATTTATTTATTTATTTATTTATTTTTGATAGAGATAGATTTTCAAAAAACTGCTTTAATTGTACTTTCTCGCCCATAATTCATTAGAAGAGATCTGTGACTTTTCAACTGAAAAACTCATTGCCGACCCCTGATAACGAAAAAGTTAATAAACGTTGATCCTATGTGTAGTAACCAGTAAAATACGCTGCGTTGCATGAGCATTCTTCATAACATTCTTTGTGAAAGAGAAAAAAAAATCAATTTTATAGAAAACACTGTGTTTATGATTATTTTTTAATGTAATTTTGTTCAAAATTAAATACTATAATTTTCTCTCATTTTATTTTACAGTACATTGTTATTAGATTACAACAATTTATCTTACCCTTTGCTACTTTCCTCAAGCGAATCAATTGAATTGTGTATTTCAGAAACCCGTGAGACGTCAAATTCTTCATTCCGAGTAAACTAAGAAAAAGTGTCCTAGCGTTGTAGGTTTGGTTTTTCCGATTTTATGAATGAATAGTTTTCATGTTTTTTTTTACATTAAACCCTCCATTTTACTTTCTCGCGACACAAATTCTTCATAAGAAGAAAAAGCTGTGTAATCGGGCGCCAAAAAAATCCGCAATTTCGCCAGAAGAAAATTGCCAGGTTTTGGTAACGAAAAAAGTGGATAAATACTGTTGCTAAACTTAGGGAAGAAAATCCTCTTATTCGTGGTGTAGCCAGAATCCATATTTCGTTGGTTCGTGATACCAAAAATCGATTGACGGCAAAACTTCCGTCCGTCTATCCGTCTGTGGTCAATGCTAGCGCCTAAACCGTTCAGGCCATTTTCTTCAAAATTGATATTCCCCAGTCGATCTGAATGAACTTGTGGCTTTGGAAGTTTCAATCGGATATTTTGATTTTTGAGGGCACTTCACATGAAGCCTCAATAACATTTTCAAATTTTTCTCAGAAACGGCACCAAATTCTCATTATAGCATTTAGCTTTTTTGCCCTATTTCACAGAGCACAAGAAATAAAATTGTTTAAACATGCAGAATTAATACAAACACTACGTATTTCGATAATTCTCCATGTATAGACACACAAGCTTTTAATATAAATCGTTCCTAGTGATTTTGGGCATAACCATGATAATAGAAGATCAAAGGTAAAAATCTCTTTATTTTTCTAAAAAAAATTCATTCCCAAAATATGCCATCTTCGATTTTGCTAAAATTTTGGGAAATTAAAGGTAAGGGATCATACTTTAACACTTCAAAAAAAACGCAGATTGTTTTTCTGATATTATCCTGATTTGAAGTTGATATTCTATATTTTGTATTTCGCGTTTTAGGACCTGATGTGTAAACATACTATTGACAATTATTTACCTAATGTTATACTATTTGAAATTCTATGTTCCGAAGGTTTCCAATCTTATAATTGATTAAATTTTAATACTCATTTTAAGTGCCACCACGTGTTTTATCCAAATGTACCCTTCTTAGGTCAAAAGGAACAAAGTGATACTATTTCTGAAAAATGCATTTTTTTATATTTTTTCAAGTTTATTTTTTAAATAAAGGAAACTCTCACGTGGATTCTGACTATAGAACGGAATAGTAAAATTGGAAAGTAAATGACTACATACTGAAACATGATTTATCCCCTGTTTCGTTTTCAGGACCCGGCATTTTTCTGTCGAAAAATTGCAGTTATTTTCTGCATCAATACAATACTATCTCTACACTGCGTAACCATTAAGTTACAATGTAAAACGTATTAATATTAAAATAACCTCTCCCGTAGACGCCTAGTAAAGCTAGTTATTAATAATTTAGATTCCCAATTATTATAACTTGTGCCATACTCTGCTGTGTAAGCTAGCTACTCGCTTGAAATAGATTGTGTCCATTACAACCCTTCCCCTCTGCAATCACTCTATCAACTAAGGGGGTCAAGGCAATCGTGGTGTACGTGACGAGAATGAAAGTTTAGTGGTAACTGGTCATGACTCTTTAGTTCAAGAAAAAGGGCTTCGCTATCTAGTGCTACAAAATCATATCGCATGTTATTTAAAGTTGAAAAGTCCTACCTGCAACTAAAATATTGGAGATATAGATTGTTTTCCATAATGAAATGTTTTCTAAAGACAGATGTTTTTAATAAGATCATGAAATTTTTTTGAAAATATGAGTAGTTTTATGGTTTTTGCATGAAATACAAGAAATTAACAAAATTTCTCAAAAATGGCACCAATTAATGATAGAGGTTTTTGTTTTAAATAAAATCTGTTCACAAACAGTAGTTTTTTAGTAATTTCTTTTTGAAGTTGATGCAAATATAAAAACAAACATTGTATTAAATACTACCACTTCAATTTGTTTCCACGGACAGAAGAAGGGACGCTTAAAAAATGGCACATGCCTCGCTTTCGTTGAATTCTCTGAATTTTCGAAAATTGCAAATTTAGAAATAATGCGTTAAAGCATGTGCCGGTGTAACGCACTAGTTTTCTTCGTATAATTTCAAATTTTTATTTCCGAATCATTTCATTTACTTTTCACGTATATTTATTTTTGTAATGATTTTCTGGCCGCAAATTTATTTCAATACATCTTATTATGGTAATGCATTTTGCGAAGCATTTTTCCATTTTAACGAAACATTTAGAGAAGTGTTCTGTTTCTATAATTTGTTCCATAATTATCTTATTAAAGACAATTGCAATTAATGTATGTATTTTTTTCTTAATGAAATCTATTCCTCAACTTCACGTACTTAAATTATTTTATTTTTGTTGAAACTATTAGTTGTTTAATAAAGAAATTAGTAGTAATTGTTGTAGTAGTAGTAATTTTACTCAAGAAATTTGTTATCAAGTATGAAAATTATGTTATCAAAACCAATTAAGCATGATTAACACGAATACATTGTCAGCGTTGTTTAGAGAAGTGTGTCATAACAGAATGGTCGGTGTGTGTGTCCGGTTCTAATCATGAAGTGTATTTATTTATTTCTCCGTAACCCTTTTTTTAGCACATATCACAATACACTTGATTTAACAGCAGAAATGTAATTCTCATTCAAAATTTTGAAATACAATTTTTTTCTGAATTCCTTGCGGTTTTTTGTTTACGTTTTCAAGTGATTGGTGAAGTGTCAGTAGAATAGAAGTTGCAATATTATATTACGTAACCTTACAAACATGCATAAAAGTGTGTGGTGTTTTGTTTTAGCACTAATAGTTTCGCCGTAAGTGAAGACTATAAATCGATTGCTCTCGTTTTGAGATGCGTCGTCCCCGTGCCGACGAGAGGTTTTGTGTACTGGAGGTAGATAAGTTGTGGGAAAAAAACGGAAATGGACAAGTAACATGAGGAAGGAGATGCAGAATTATTACACTTTAATTGTATATTCGCATTCTGTTGTCGTCTATCGATATCACCAATGTCTTTATTATTATTATTATTATTATTATTATTATTATTATTATTAATATTATTATTGTGTTGTGTGTGTTGGCGTTATATTCTATTACTGATCACGCTATACAATTAACGTGTTGTACTTGTTCCAGGGTCAGTTTCAGTGTATCCCCTCATTACACAAGGTTACGCCTAATGGAATTATGAGATGCATAGATGATGAATCAAGGTGAAGGACAATCACAAATACGACTTAGCAAGACTCGAACCTGCCATCTCCGCGGGCTCAACGACATTATTATATTATTATTATCTATATTATATTATTATATTATTATTATTATTATATATTATTATATATTTTGAATAAAACATACTCTGACTATTATTTCTATACAGTACCTGCACTTTGTATTAGGCCTTTCGTTTACTTTTGAAAAATCATAAAATATGTTTGTGTGCAACTCAAAATGATATTTCGACATAGAGCCGCCGAAAAACTCACGATACAAGTTAAAAAAACCATATCTAATCAGCGCCACACTTTACTGTGCCATGAAGTTATTAGCAGATCTGTGTAAAATGATCTGAGCCAATTTACAACCGCGATCCGCTACACGATGGCCATGCAAACTTCTCGCGCATTTTTTGCCAGGCATCGTCGAGGACGGTCGACTGAGTTCTACATGACAGGCTAGATTAACGCGGCATTAATACGTAATACCTAATCTCTTGCATTGTCTCCTGTTATTGTCTGTTTTTCGTTTAAATATGGAAATATATTATCAGTAAAATTCATTAATTTGACTACTCACACAATTCTCAAAATACTTAAACAGTAAATTTCATTATTTTGCCTAGTCATTCGCCACATTTATACAGACGCGTCTTCTCGGGTTGTAAATACGAGTCCTACGTTTGGAAATAGTAAGCTTTTTTGATCTTGGAATTTTTGCTTACAGGACACGTCATCATTTCGTCTCCGTGATACTTTCTTAAATTTGTAGACTCCTTTTCTGAACCTTCTTCAACTGCACAAATGATTACGTAAACTATTATTAATATGAAGTTGAGGTTAAAAGTAGATGTCATATTTCTCTTTCTGACAATATGATGGATTTGTTCAATCTTAATTCCGCATAAATAATTAATGATCAATGATTGTTTGAGAATTAATGTATCAAAACACAATCACTTCTGCAAAAAGACCTCGATTAAACAGCATTCTGAAATTAACAAGCTATTTTTTCACGGTACGGAGCGATTTTCATAAAACGCGTGTAAATATCCTCTTTTAAGCGGTTTTGTTTTTTTTTTCTCTAACGGACACAAACGTCTAGTGCCAAACAACATTTCGCAGTTTAACCTGTATTAGACGTTACATTTTCGTTGTTTTGAGCCGTAAACAGGCTTAGAAAGAGGCATATATAATATATAACTATATATATATATATATATATA